ATTTAATTTGCAGCGGAAAATATAACAGAATAATAAAAGTTTTGATTTAGAGGGTATGCTGGCTAGTTATATGTCAACTTGATGCACCCTAGAGTCATCTGGGAGAAGGAAATCTCAGCTGAGAAAATGCTTGCACGTATTCTTGATTGATGATGGTGTGGGAGGGTGCAGCTCATTGTGGGCGGTACTACTGGGTGCTATAAGAGAGCAGGCTGAGGCTGATCAAGGCGGAACATGTTTTCAATCCCAGCATTTGGGAGGCAGAGGCAGGTGGATTTCTGACTGGTCTACAACGTCAGATCCAGGACGGCTAGGGCTACCTGTTTCGGAAAGAAAGAAAGAGAGAGAAAGAAAGAGAGGGGAGAAACAAGAAAGGAAGAAAGAAAAGGAAAGGAAAAAAGAAAAGAAAAGAAAGCAAACAGGCTGAGCAAGCCATACGGAACAATCCCCTGCCCTCTGCCTGCATCTTCTCCTGCCTATCTGCTGTCCTGTCTTCATCCCCCGAGGGATGCTGGACTGTGATGTGGAATTGTAAGCTGGAACCAATCTTTCCTCCCCAAGTTGTGTGTGGTCAGGGTTTTAACATAACAATGAGAGCCTAGCTAAGGCAGAAGGGGTCTTAGAGTTCACCCGACTAATCTCTCCTCTTGAAAGTACAGACCAGACCAGTTGGCTGGTCACTGTTCCTAAAAACCACACCGTTCTGGGAAGGGGACTTTTCTCCAAAAAGAGGCCAATATATTTTGCTGTTGTTTGTGTTTAGGCGCTTCATGTACTCAGAAACAAAGATGAATTCCCTAATCAGAGTTTGACCTTTCATGGTCTGTGTTCCACAGCCTATTCGTCAGAACTACGCAAATCTGGAAACTACTTGTTTTTAAGATTTATTTTACCTTGAATTATGTGCATATGTTTATGTCTGTGTAAGCGTATGCTGTGTGGGAGCCTGCGGAGTTCAGAAGAGCATTTTGCTAACTGTCTAGACCAGGCTGGCCTCCAGCTCCAAGAGATCTCCCTGCCTCTGCATCCGGAATCCTTGGTAAGATGTGCACCACCATACCAGGTTGATCTGTTGTTAACTTTTACTCTCAAGACTACAGTTTGGTTTCCTTGGGTGTATAAATCTTGCTTGGGAGGCTGAAAGAAGAGGAAAAGAAAAACTCCATCAAAATGCAAAAGTTTAAACTCCCTTATGACCTAGATTCAGATCCTCCTTCCCATCTCCATTTACTTCTGTTTTCCCGAGATAGTGGACGCTCTGTCAGCGAACCTGGCCTTTGTGCTAAGGTGTGTTTAATTGAAAAGCTCCATCATCGGGAGAATGGAAGCGCTAATTTCATTAATGTAAAAAAAAAAAAATGTGGTTTTTCAGAGGAATAAAAAGAGTGAAGGAAGGAAGAGACAAAGTGTAATAAAAAGATCATACTCAAAAGCTGAAGTGTAATGTTCACTTTATTTGTTCATTGTTTTGCAATTGATCAGCAATTTAGTAAATACTGGCAGTTAACTAAACATCAAATATGAAAAGACTTTGGAAAACGTTTTTTATTAGGTAAATGGAACAATAAAGGAAAAGTAGATACTGATTTAATACATTGAAAACATACTTGATAGTTAATTAACTGAAACCAAAATTGAGCATTGGTTACCATTATATTAAGTAAAAATCCGGGGAATAACATGTTCAGGGCGCCCGGATAGCTCAGTCGGTAGAGCATCAGACTTTTAATCTGAGGGTCCAGGGTTCAAGTCCCTGTTCGGGCGGCTGGAAATTTTGCATGACTAGTAGCCTCTCTTGGTCATACAGCTATCTTTAAAGATAGGTGTTCCTCATTAAGAAAGGCGACTTTTAGGTGTAATTTTCTTAGAATTAAGAGACTTAAGGATATGTTATATAATTTAAGGAGGCAAAGTGGCGGGAGCATTTTTTTCTCCGCGTGTAAGGAGGGTTGAGTGCTGCTGAGTCAGTAGAATCTTGTCCAAGTCCTCACCACAGAAATAATAATAACGGGAAGCATACATTGAATAGCTTGGGTTACCCTTAAATTTGTACAACTTTTGCTGATGTGAAGGGAAAAAAAGCAGAATCTAAAAGAGAAGCGGAGCGCCCGAACGGGGACTTGAACCCTGGACCCTCAGATTAAAAGTCTGATGCTCTACCGACTGAGCTATCCGGGCTCCTGCCGAAGGCAGTTCCTACGGTACTTTACATAGGAATAAGGAGCCTTGTGCAATGCTTCCGCCCTAAACGCTGTGTTCTCGCGAGAGTAAAAGCAGTGCAAAGTCGGCTTGAATGTCGCGTAAGCCATCGTGTATCCCCATGCTCGGGTGGACATGGGTCTGGGAACTAACGGTGTTTGCAGCTCTGTAGGAACAGCCCCGGTGACGACATCCGTGCTGAAACCCTTGCTGCAGGGTTGGAAGAAGGGGGTTTAGGGAGCGCCTGCAAACACGCTGTTGTGAACGAACGGGCTGAGCTGTGCGGTGCAAACCAGGGCACCGGAGCGGCGCTTTGCTTTGGTCCAGCAATGCTCCTTGGAGAATTTTACCGTTTTACCGTACAGCGCTGCGGGCTGGAGGCACAGAGCTGTCTGACAAGGCCTGCAAGAACACGGGCTCACAGCTTCGTGAAGGTCCTGCTCCAGGGGACCCCAGATCCCAGCGGCTGCCTCCCGCAGGCCAGGGCCTGAGTTCGATTCCCAGCACCAACACCAGCCAACTCACAGCTGCCACATCTTTGGGATGCCTTCACTGGCCTCCTTGAGCATCTGAACGTGGGTGACATACACATGCACACACACACACACAGTAACAACAACGACAAGAATATAAGTTGCAGTAGAACACTTGGAGCTTGATGCAACTATTTAAAAAAATTCTGAAAGTGTTACAATATAGATCAGGAATGGTGAAGCAGGCCTTTAATCCAGCACTTCACAGCAGGGGTAGACAATCTTTGAGTTTGAAGCCAGCCTGGTCTAAACAGTGCATAGGCCTGGGTCAGCCAGTGCTACACGGTGTCTCAAAACATAAAACAAGGTGTCGGAGAGGTGGTTCAGCAGTTAGACAGTTGTGACCTACAACACGGGATTCCTGGTACCCAAGCAGAACCTCACAACTGTCTATGATTCCAGCCCCAGGGCATCAAATACCCTGTTGGAGCCTTTGCAGGCAACAGTCATGCATGTGGGCAAGATATTCATACGCAAAAATAAATAAATAAATGGAAGTTAAGGAAAAAAGTCTTAAAAATAACAACCCAAGTAAACAAAAAAAAAAGTGCAAAACATTTTAAAGGAACATATCAGCAAGATGGTGCAGCGTGTAAAGGCACTTGATGTTAAACCAGAGGACTTGAGTTTGAACCCTGGGACCCACTTCATGGAAAGAGTGGGATCCCATGGTATAGCCCTTAGGGGTCTAGAACGTGTTCTGTCAGTCATATCTCTATTCCCAGAATTTGGCAGGCAGAAGACTGACTCTAGCTCCAGACCAGCTTGCACTATATGATGAATTACAGGCCAGCTTGAACTACAGAATGTGATCCTGTCTCCAAAACAGAAGAGAACCAAGCCAAAGCAACCAAATAAAAAGTAGTTGCACAAAGAGAGAGGGGGAAATACTTGGCTAGGGTTTACCCCAAAGCGTGCTTCCAAATCTTTTGAGGGACTATTGTTGACTTCAAGCTCTTTGTCAGCAACTGTACAAAGGGAGTCACTTCTTCTGGGCCTTCAGAAAACTCTGAGTCTCCCAGCTGTGAAAGGCGCTAAGAAGCTGGGTGCAGTGGTGCAGGTCTTTATTCCCAGCACTCTGGAGGTATAAATAGTGTTATCTGTGAGTTCGAGGTCAGCCTGGTCTACATAATGACTTCCAGGACAGCCAGAGCTATAAAAAGAACGGAGTAATGTTTACATTAGAAATAATGAATTTGTACTGTCCTACAAGATTGTCAAGTAATAAATTCATAATAGGGAACTGTAATCAAGGGAGATTACTGAGCTTTTTTTCTCTTTGCATAAGTCCGTGTCTACTTCTGGGAGCCATATCCTAACACGAACAAGTTCGTGTTCAGAAAATATTGATCAGGGACGGTAACAAGGTGGCTCATTGACATGTTAAAAAAGAAATAATGAAAGGATCAGGAAGGTTTAGCTTGTAGACAAATGAGAGGATTGGGGATGGGAATCGGAAGCTGTCTTGAAAGAACTGAGGAGTATATTGGCACGTCTGGATTGAGGCAAAGACTGGAGGATCTCTGTGAATTCGATGCCAATCCAGTCTACATAAAGTTCCAGGACAGCCAAACAAAATCAAAACGGGGTAACATTTACATCGGAAGTAATGAATTCATACCCAGCTATTAATAGACATTGCAAGACAAACTGTTTCAGCTCACACACTCCTCTCAGGATGCACCGAAGTAAACGAGGTCGTCTGGGGGAGGTGATAACGTTTGGCACTGGCAGAGGTTAAAGGCCGTTTGCGTGAGACAGGTTGCCCCTCCCTCTCTTTTAGCACCTATCACTTATTTTGCAGTCACTCGTGAATAATCCAGCTGTGTGTAACAACTGGGATGCTCTGGGGGTTTAAGGATGGGTAGTACATCATACTAAGGTTTTCCTGAAGAGCTGCAGGGCGTGCAAGCCTGAAATAAACCCCAGCACTCGGGGAGGCAGGCGGAGTGGGTCTCTGTGAGTTCGAGGCCAGCCTGGCTCACGCAGTGCGTCCCAGGACAGCCAGAGCTGTCTCAAAAGTAAAACAAAATCTACGGCAGCGCCGGCGTTCACGCTTCCACGGCTGGAGACTCTCTGCCCGGAGTAGCGTGCACTCGATGGTAGGTTCTTCGGCCGTTCTAGCCCTCCAGGGCCTCCTCTATGGTCTCGCCGGCCTCCCCGGAAGCTGCATTTGAGAGAGCGGAAGCGGCCCCGCCGTTGCTCTCGCGGGTTCCAGCTGCCGAGGAGGCCTTCGGCGTCGGCCTCTGCTCGGAGGCCGGGCGGCCCGTGGCGTGGCCGTAAGGTGTGGCGGCGGGGTCTGGCCAGCCCGGGGCGCTGGGGCGGGGGCGGGCGGGAGGCCCGGAGGCCGGGCGGGCGGGCGGCGAGGGCGGAACCGCGCGCGGGCGGCGAGGGCGCCGCGGGGGAAGGGCGGCTCCGGGCAGCGCCGGGGCCGAGCGAGCGCTGAAACGGGCTGCACAGTTGCAGGGAGTGAAGGGAGGTGTCGGTGCTCCGATGGCGACCCGAACTGGAGGAGCGTGTGGGACTCCGGGAGGGGCCCCGGGGCAGTGACAGTGACGAGACTTAAGACTGCGATCGTTTTTTAGGGCTGCACACCTGTCTGTCTGCTCTAGGGTTTGGGGGATGCTCGTTTGGGGTCCACATACGGACCCCGCTGTGTTTTTTGAAATTGTCTTCCACCAGTAAGAATGTTGTTGTTGTTTTGTTTTGAGACAGCGTCTCACTGTGTAGCCATCCCCGACTAGCCTGGAACTTGCTCTGTCAGGCTGCAACTGCTCTGTTAGGCCACACCTGGCTAAAACAACGCCTGTCTTGTCCTTTTCAAGAAAGGCCGGTGTGGGTTAGGAAGCTCCACTGCCCGGGATATGTCTGTGCAAGATACTTGAAGCCCTCAGTAATCCTTACACAGTAATAATAGTTGCTGACTATCAGTTCAGGTTTAGTCTTCCCCTTCATTCATTCCTGCTAGGAAAAAAGTATTTTAGCTTTAAAGTATTATATGCAGTACTCTTTCACTGTACTGGTCAAGACTACAATAGACTCTTATTTATTTATTTATTTATTTATTTATTTATTAAAAAAAGTGAATGTGTAAAGTTGACAGGCCAGCATCCTTAAACCCTCGGACTTCTAAGGTGGTAATCACTGGGGCCTTAACAGCTTCCCTGATTTGCACTACACATATTCTTAGTTTGAAACCGTAGAGGAATCATTTTTCTGGTATGCACCTTAAATTTTTCAGATAGCAGCAGCTTCCTGTAAGATAGACTTTTAAATAAAAAAGTGTTTGCATAAACCATTTTTTCTTTTAAGCTGGATCCTCACTGGTGGTCTTTTACACTATCTCCTGGCTTCACAAATTGTTGCACGGCATTTTTTTTTTTTGCTGCACACTCACCTTAAGTGTGTAAGAAGTACACCAACATCTGAACGATCTGTCTGTCTCTCTGGGGTAGGGTCTGTCTCACTGTGTAGACCAGGCTAGCCTCCCAAGTGCTGGGATTAAAGGAATATGCCACTGTGCTTAGCCATGTATTTTTTTTTTTTAATTAACTGAGTTATAAATTGCACCTCTTTAATTAAGGCTTTTGGCTTATACTTGGCCACCTCAAAGTCTCATTGCAACACCAGGTTGGTCAATTTCAATGCTGGGGCTCCCTGATGGATGGACTCACAATCTTTACACCCAAACGTTAATGCAGCTATAGTTCCAGAACTCATGATTTGGGTAGGCTGTCTTCCTGCCTGTGTCAGTTGCTTCTTTGGAAATTAGGACAGTACTCTACTTCATGACACCCTGTAAGGTTCAGGGTTGTATCTAATGTGCTTTGAAGAGTGTCTGAGCCAGAGGTGGTGTCTGTCGAATAACAGAAACAGGTTCTACAGCTTAAAACTTAACTGTTGGGCACTCTTTGATTTCTATTTTGTGGAGGGTTTAGATCAGTTGGTACAGTTTGCATTTTGAAAACTCAGTACTGAAGACACTGGGAGAGAATGGTAAAAATTCTGAGTACCTGAATACATCATGGGTATTAAATGTTATAAACTGAGACTTGGAGATAATGAAATGGAAGTTTGGAAAGTTTAAAAAAAAAACTTATATTCTCAATACCCAATGTTTGTGGAAATGGGAGTATCTGCTATAGAATTGAAAAATGTTCCCTCTAGATTTTGTTTTGTTTTTTTTTATGCTCCCCAGCCCCCCACTTCAGCTTTGGTTGGCAATGAATCTGGTTGTTGTATCATTGTCCTTAAATGAAAAGGATAAGGGATTCTTTAAAACTTATAGATAAGGATTTTTAAAATGATCACAGGCTTTTCATTACAGTCAACAGTTACTATTTTTCTTTTGTAAGTTGGTATTTTTTAATTATGTGTATATATGTATGTATGTAGGTATGTGCATAACATGAGTGTAGTACTTTTGGAGGCCAGGAGAGGGCATCTGGTCCCCTGGAGTTGTAGTTATAGGAGGTTGTAAGTTTCCTTATGTGGTGCTGGGAAATGAACTTGGGTCTTCTGTAAGGATGTTCATTGAGCCACCTCTCCAGCCCTTAGTTAAAAGTTTTTTGTTTTGTTTTGAGATAGTGGCACACACCTTTAATTCCAGCACTTTGGAGGTAGAGGTTGGTAGATCTCTGTTAGTTCAGGGCCAGCACCGGTTCCAGGATAGTCAGGGCTACGTAGAAACCCTGTCTCAAATATATCGTTTAAAGAAGTTAGGATACATGAAATAAAATAAAATACTACATACCTCTACAAAACAATGAACGTGTCTTTATACACTGAAATAGAATAAGACACAGAATTCGAAAAAGCAAAGTGAAGAAACCCGTGTTTTGAGATGGGGGGGTCTCATTCTGTAGCTCAGGCTGGCCTCCATCTGTTTTTCCTTAACTATGCCTGGCTTTACCAGTAGCTTAATACTGTCTATTGTACAATAAAAAAAGCTTCTGATTGTTTACTTATTTTTATTTTTTGAGTTAGAGTGTCTGCATAGTCCTCCTTTGCTATTTTGGAACTCATGTAGACCATCTGGCCTTGAATTTTAGAGATCCACTTGTGTCTGCCTTCCTTGTGCTGAGATTAAAGACACATGCCACCACACCCTGCACCCTGTCATTCCCCAGTTTATTATTTAAAGCACACTTTGCACATTGTTTGCTTGAATTAGGACTCATAAAGTGGGTGTATTTCGTTAGGTCTGTAAAAGTCGCCATCATCCTGCTGTTAGGTCTCAGACCTGGACAAACAGTTGAGGTGCCTACGTAACAAAGTGAATGCTGGCTGCCAAGTTCCTCCTGCACCCCAGTCCCTGCTGTTATAGAATATGGCTGGCATACCCCACTCCCTACCCTAACCCTCTGCAGCCTGGGGGCTGGGCTTCCCTTCCCCTCTGCCCTTTCCTATCTATAACCCAACCGTTGGCCACTCGGTCGGTCTTCTGTCGGTCTCTTGGCCCAGGCTGCCCTCTTGGTCAGCAGCTGCTCTCCCTCCCGCCTCCCCCATCTCACATGGCTTAGGGTCATATTCACCTGGACTCTCCCAGGTGTCCCTACCTCTGGCCATGCTCTCCCTTTTCTCTACAGTAAACTGTCTCCTCCATCATACTTAGGAGCAGCCACATCCTCTTTTCTCTTTTTTTCATCGCCCCTTGCGTAGTTTCTTTGTCCTCCATTTCCCATCAAATTTATATTTGACTTTAGGGGCTGCTTGCACTCCCTAGGTGCTGAGATTACAGATGTGTGCCTTGCTGTATTAATTTTTTGGTGTTAGGGATTAAACTCAGGGCTTACACCTGGTGGAGTTCCGTTCCTGCACTGACTGAGCTGCACAGCCTCAGTCTTAACCAGTGACGAGACTCATACACGTGTGCAACTGGGGGGGGGGGCAGAGATCGGCCCTTCAAAGTCCCTTCCTTCACCCACTTCAGCCGTTCTATTACGGTTTTAGTGTGTGTCTTAGTTACTTTTTTATTGTGGTGCGGAGACACCACGAGCGAGGCAATATGAAAAAGAAGTCATTTAATCGAGGATCTGTTTACAGTTTTAGAGGGTGAGTCCCACAACCATCATGGTGGGGAGGGAGCAAGGCGGGCAGGCGGGCACTGGGACAGTAGCTGAGAACTCACTTCTGGTCCACAAGTTCAAGGTAGAGAAAGACTGGCCTAAAACCTAGGAGAACCGCCTGCTTCTGCCTTGTGCATGCTGGGACTAAAGGCGAGCACCACCGCCGCCTGGCGAAAATGTGTTTTAAAAATGTTTTGGTGTTTTTGAGAGGTCTTACTGTGTACTTCAGGCTGGCCTTGAACTCCCAAGTGTTACGATATGATTTTGCCAGTGTGCCCTACCATGATTACCAGGTGAATGTTGACACTTTTCTGTACGGTTTCTTGTCCAGGCATGTTGGAACAGCATGGTCTTGGTGATTTTCCAGCTGTGTGTGTCTCCTAGCTCTAATCTTAACTGCTCTGCTCTGGAGTAGGGGTAGCTGTGATTGTAAATTTGACTCTAGAACAATTTACTCATTAGCATTGGCATTGTGGGAGGGACGCGTCCAAACCTGTCTCTATTTCAGGGTTCACCTGAGGGAGGCACGGGTGGTTTAGTCTCCAGCTTTTGTGCTAGATCTGAAATAGAGATTGAGAATCCCAATGTGAGTATTTTGCATTTGTTCGGAGCTGTATATGTGTGTATCAGATTTTGTTGTTGTTTTTAAACGGTTGCTGGCTGTTTTGCCTTTTCTTTTTACCCTGTTTTGGAGACAGGGTCTCTGTATAGCCCCTGGCTATCCTTGAAATTGCCCTGTTCATCGATCAGGCTGATTTTGAACTAAAAAAGATCCACCTGCCTCTGCCTCCTGGTGCCGGTATTAGAGGTGTGTGCTACCATGCCCAGATTATTTCTTAATAAACACTAAAGACAGAATTTTCTACTTTACATTTATATATTTTTTTCCCCTTTTTAGTGTGCTGGCTGAAGAATCTTCACTGCCAAAATGACATCACATTCCAGTTCAGCCCAGTGTTCAACATCTGACAATGCTTGCAGAATGTCTTCAGAAAGAATCAGTCAGGTAAGCACTGGTCATCTTCCTTTTCTTTAAAAATCTTAAGAAGTGGAATTGAGGCATATAGACGAATCCTATCATAATTTGCCTAAAGCAGAAGTGATGTTGTAAATCTTTTTTTTTTTTTTTTTTGGCTGTTCTGGAATTCACTGGAAACCAGGCTGGCCTCAAACTCACTGAGGTCCGCCTGCCTCTGCTTCCCAACTGCTGGGGTTAAAGGTGTGTGCCACACTGCCCTATAATTGTAAAATCTTATATTACCTATTTGAAAGTTACAGACAGCTTGAAATGGCCAAGGTTGGTCAGAATTTTCATTCCTTATGCCCCTCTGCTTGCTTAACTCTTTTGTTACACGAGGCACGTGTTTTAGGTTAGAAGTGGGTAGTAGGGAATTAGGGGCCAGGTTATCTACGGTTTTTTTCTTTGTCTCAGCTGGTTGTGATTAATTGATTTTCTTTTTTTTTTTTTTTTTTTGTTTGTGCAATTTCCTTTTGAGGTCTGAGAAAGACACAGAAGGTTGTTGCTGTGCAGCCTTTGTAGACCAGGTTGCTTTGAACTTGATCGATCCTCCTGACTTTCTCCAGCTGCTGGCATGTCCGACTGGGTTAGGCGAGTTCATTTTATTTTAAAGGCTGCCTTAAATTGTGAAAATAGCAAATGTATTCTTATAAAACCCTTGATTTATTTTTAGGCATTTGTGGGTACAGACTCTTGACCACCTCCTCAGATTTGGTGTATGCTATTGCAGACAGACCTTTTTTTAAACATTTATTTTTTATTGCTTGTGTATGGGTGTTTTACCTGAATGTATGTCTATGTACCACATGCTTGTGGTGCCCTTGGAAGCCAGAAGAGGGCCCTGGATCCTCTGGGACTGGGGTTACAGATGATTGTGAGCTATTGTGTGGGGGCTGGGAACCAAACCCAGGTCCTTTGGAAGAGCAACATGTGCTCTTTTTTTTTAATGATATATTTATTTTTATTTTATGTGCATTGGTATTTTGCATGTATATGTCTGTGTGAGGGTGTTAAATCCCCTGGATTTGGCGCTACATACAGTTGTGAGCAGTCATGTGGGTGCTGGGAATTGAACCTGGGTTCTCTGGAAGAGCAGTCAGTGAGTGCTCTTAACTGCTGAACCATCTCTCAAGTCCCAGACCTTTTCCTTTAATATTTTGTTAAAAATTATTTTTGTGTTTTCAGAATCATTTTTTCATGTTTCTGTACCTTAGTATATGGTGAAAGTAGAATTTAGAATTGATGGAGGAAAGATGTAATATAAATTAATTTTATTAAATAATTTTTTTCTTTAAGATTTATTTATTATGTATATAGGTGTTCTGTCTGCATGTCTGCCTGCAAGCCAGAAGAGGGCACCAGATCTTATTATAGATGGTTGTGAGCCACCATATGGTTGCTGGGAAATTGAAGACCTCTAGAAGAGTAGCCAGTGCTCTTAACCTCTAAGCCATCTCTCAAGCCCCTAAAGTAATTGTTTTGTGATAGTTGCACATCTTTGGAAAAACAAGTTCCAGGCAGACTAAGGATTTAAATGTGAAAAATCAAGACATTGAGAGGAAAATATAAGAAATATTTGTGAAACTTTAGAACAAGAGAGGTCTTAGCGCTGAAGTATGGGCTATAAAGGAAAAAGATACAGACTTGATAATATGCAACCTAAAAACAAAGTTGGGTTGGGTGGAGTGGTGCAGGTCTTTATAATCCCAGTACTCAGGAGGCATAGGCAGGTACTCTGAGTTTGAGGCCAGTCTGAGCTACATAGTAATAGAGACCTTATTTTAAATAAAACAAAAATAAAAATATAACAAAATTGTATAACGGGCATGCTACAGGGCCAGCTTGACGTAGAGTAGTAGGTTATAGTCTGGGCTTCCTAAGTGTTTGGAGATGATGGTGTTAGATAGGGTGGGTTGGTATAGAAGTTAATATAGCATGAAGCAAACTGTGGAGTGTTGTAGAACAGGTGTGGGGTCACGTGGGTCCATGAGAAAAGACACAGGGCACTTTAAGGATGATTTTAGCCTTTCCAGCTGCAGGTGGACCCGGCCAGCCTCTCTGCACTGAGACCTTAGCCAAGGGCCCTTTGCCCTTACAAAATTTAGTTGGGAAAAATCAGGCACACTGTGATATTCCTTAATGGAGAATTTTCATTTGGCATTGTCCCCTTGGAAAACTCTCAGACAGGATATACATATGTTAAAACAGAAAGTACTGAAGGCGAAGGGCAGATTAAGGCTATGTGCCTACATTCCAGAGCCAGCTGCAGCTGTGTAGACGCTCTCCCTACAGTGGAGTTAGGAAAGCTTCATTTGTCTTGTTCTTGGAGGGGGAGAACAAATGTCCATGCCTGCACCTGTCTGCTTCCTGCATAACAATGAGGACGTGTTGAAGCTAACGCAAAAGTAGGCTTTCCAGTTCTATAATACAGTAGTGTGTTATAAATTTACTGACGCTGCAAGGTCTCAGACTGTAGCACCTAGAAGACGGCGTCTGTTTTTCCTAGAGCTTATTTTGTCCAAACAGATTTGGATATTTGGGTAAAATTGGTTTGATTTAGATAAAACCCTACCCCTGAGATTCATCAGCCTGTTTTGTCTTTCAGAGATAGGGTCAATTTTTTTTATTTTGGAGACAGGAACTCTCTGTAGACCAGGCTGGTCTTTGCCTCCTGAGTCTGGGATTATAGGCATGTGCCACCACCCACCTGAGATAGAGTTAATTTAAGCTAGTCCCATTCTGTAAATTTTGCTTCTTATTACTTATCCTTCCTATGTTAGGGATTGAATTTAGGACTCGTGCATGCTACCACTGAGCTATATCCCCAGCTGCCTTGGGTTTTTGTTTTTCGTTTGCTTTAAAGAATAAAACTCTCCCTATACAGAAGAATCTTTATTACTCAAAAAATGTAGGAGTTGGCTACAGAACTTTCTTACCTGGAAGTGCTTAATTACTGTTTTATTCAGGCTTATGCCCAGGATGTGTTCTGAGGAGTAGAATCCATGTATTATCTATCGCTCCACAGTCATATCTGCCTCTGTTCATTCTTACCACTCACCCATAGCTAGCTCATGGTTAAAACTGCTACTTTTCCTTACTCAGTGCTCTGTCTTCTGGCCAGTACAGCTGGATTGGAATGGGACTTCATGAATTTATTTTCACCTGAAGAGTTCGATTTTCATCTAAGTTAACAGGAAGTAGAGAATTACTGAAGAGTACTGAGTCCTTTTTATTCTTTTTGAGACAAGGTTTCTCTGTAGTTTTGGAGTCTGTCGTGGCTCTCCTGGAACTCACTTTGTAGACCAGGCCAGCCTTGATCCTCTGCCTCTGCCTCTCAAGTGCAAAGACCAAAGGTGTGCACTACCACTGCCCGGGTTTTTTATTAAGCCTTTAAAGGAATATCTTGTCTTTCTTCATCCCCCCCCCCCCCAGAAAGCAATGTAATTGAAATATAAGTAGCAGCTTTATGCTGGGTTTGTGCAGGAAGATCCAGAGTTCAAGGTCATCCTCTACTACATAATAAGTTCCAGGCCTGTTGGGTAACATCAATTCTGTCTTCATATTTTACAGCAGGTACGGCCAAAACCACCACTTCTGAAGATTTTGCAGGTAGCAGGTGCTCAGGGTGAAGTATTTACCATGAAGGAGGTAAGCCATCAAAGACAGTCCCAGTTTTAAGAACAGTTGAGTAGAGGCTATCACATGCACAGTTGTGAAATCTGGGCTAGGGAAGGAAGTTGTACTAGCAAAGGAGACTTTTACTGGTGTAAGTGTGTGCACTTGTGTGCGCATGGCCAACTGCAAATAGCTCACTGACCTGGGAGTGCCAGTGCTACATGTGTGGGTTAAAGTGTCTTAGATCCCTGCCAGGCAGGGGTTTTTTCTTTTTGGCTTTTCACAGGGTTTCACTGTGGCCAGGCTGGTCTCCCCTCGCCTCGAACTCACAGAGACCCGCCTGCCTCTGCCTCCCCAGTGCTGGGATCAAAGGTGTGCGCCACCACCACCTGGCTTGCCAGGCAGGAATTGGATGCAGTAATTTTGTCATTGTACATTTGTCAGACATTTTATGAGTCATTTAGTCATTTTGAACATTTAGTAATTTAAATAACTTAAGATCTGGAAGATTTTTTTTTTTTAAAGCTACCAAAATATATTGAATTCTTTAAGCGGAATGCAGTATTAAAATATTAATGTACTCGAACAGTTTGCGGTTAGTATGGTAGATCCTTCACCTTTCCTAAGCAGAAAACAAAATTGTGGAGTTCTTTTAGTTTTTTCTTAGAAGTGCCACATCTAATCAGTACTACTACTGAGATTACAGATGTCTTTGACATGCTTGTGATATTTAACAAGAACTTGCTTATTGAGTAAAATTCTTTTTTTTAACCTACCTTTACAAACATTTCAGGGTCAGGTAGGAGGCAGAAGGGAAATAATGAAGCATTACAAATATTTCAGTAGATCTCTCTCTCTCCTTCCCTTCCCTTCCCTTCCCTTCCCTTCCCTTCCCTTCCCTTCCCTTCCCTTCCCTTCCCTTCCCTTCCCTTCCCTTCCCTTCCCTTCCCTTCCCTTCCCCTCCCCTCCCCTCCCCTCCCCTCCCCTCCCCTCCCCTCCCCTTCCCTCCCCTCCCCTCCCTTCCCTTCCCTTCCCTTTCTGTTTATCTGAAAGTTTTTCCACATTTATTGGCAAACAGTATATCAACCTAGATAATATAATAAAGGTTCTATGACATGCTTCATCTACATGTAAAAGGACACTTTTCAAGGTTAGAATCGTGAGTTTCTGAAGCCTGAAGAGAAAAAGCTAGGTAGACTAGATTCTGTTTTGAGTTTTTGTTTTTTTTTTTTTTTTCTTTGTATGGCTTTGGCTGTCCTGGAACTGGCTTTGTAGGCCACCTACCTCTGCCTTCGCATTGCTGGGATTTAAGGTGTGTGCCACCACCACCCAGCCCTGGCTTTTGTATTGGGACCAATGGTCCCTTAAACTTTGGACATTTGTCAATAGAATTCTGAGTTGCTATGTTTTTTTTCACTGTCAGATCAATATATTTTGGTGCAAAAATCTCTGGCTCTGTTGATGGATGAATAGATGAACATAGTAGTAGGAAACATTATGAGATTGCTCATATGCCATCAGCAGCCACACGCTGGCAGTCTTGTATGTCTTTCTCATCTAGGAACATAACTGAGTCACTCATAGGTAATTGTGGTTTTGGTAGCAGTCAGGCAGATCATTCATTCCGTGGTGTTTTATTCTCATTCAGGTAATGCACTATCTAGGCCAGTATATAATGGTGAAGCAGCTCTATGACCAACAGGAACAGCATATGGTGTATTGTGGTGGAGATCTTTTGGGAGATCTGCTTGGACGTCAGAGTTTTTCTGTGAAAGATCCCAGGTAAAAAGGGTGAGGGCTTATGTGTCTCTGAATGCTGCATAGTTTTGTTTCGTTGTTTTTAGCAAGTGTTTTAGGGGCTGCACATGTTATATACATATAGCCAGTGAGATGGATACATGCAGAGTTCAGTATTGAACCCTGGACAGCCTGATAAGATGGCAAAACAGTACAGCAATTGTCTTCACACACAGTAAAATAGCATGACAGGAAAGAGCCATAGACGAGAAGCACATGAAGGGGAATGGCTGGGACTTGAGAGGGCCAGAGGCTCCTTAAAAAAGTGAATTTGAGTTGAGCTGGAGCAGTTTTTAAAGGGACTGATTGGAAGGAGAGCTTCTGATTGAATATCTTGTGTGCAGGTTGAATAGGAGGGGGTCAGTACTGGGTTACAAGTGTGTCAGGTGCTACGGAGAAAGGAGGAAGTGTGAGCTGATAAGAAAAATACAGAACCACAGGGCAGTTTGAGGTTCATGGTGAGCCAGTTAAGAATGAGCAGAGTAAATTTGACCTGTATGGTGGTCTCTGGTTCCATGGGGGTGAATAGGGTCGTTGGGTTATCTTTTCAAGCTAGTCGGTAGTCTAGAAGCTAGTGTTCTTAAAACAATTGTTTTTAGCAGTTTTATTTCATGTGTGTGAGTGTTTTGCTGTCGTGTTCATGTCTGCTCCATGTGTATGTTTGCTAAAGGAGCCCAAAGAGGGCTTCAGCTCCCCTGGAGTTGAAGCTACAGATGGTTGTGAGCCCCATGTGGGGGCCGACTGTTGAACTGCTCCTCTCTGTAAGAGCAGTCTGTGCTCTTCAGCTGAGCCATCTGCCTTCCCCTCCCCTCCCCCTTCCCCTCCCCTCCCCCTCCCCTTCCCCTCTCCTCCCCCCCTCCAGTGGTTTTTCTCTCTCTGAATAGTGATTGCTTTTGGAATTCCGGTCTCATTTTGTCTTATCATCGATGAAGCTTCCTTTCACACTCCCATTTCTCAATCAAAAAATGTAAAACGACATCTAGAAGAAAAGAATAATTTTCAAAGGCAATCTCCCCAGTTGGGTTACTAATAGTTAATAAGATTTGATAAAATTTTTGTTGGGGACAAGATGGCAAGGGCTGGGTTCACTTTCTGGTTTTAAATAGTGTCTCACATTAGCCTATGGTGGCCTTAAAATCACTATGTTGCTAAGAATAACCTTGAACTTGGTCTTGCAGCCTGGACCTCCCAGTGCTGGGCCTCAAGGGGGGCACTGCTATGTCTGGCTCCTTCTTGATGCTTAGATTATCTTTAACAATCGGGGGAAAGATATTTATATGTTGTTTTTTTGCAGCCCTCTCTATGATATGCTGAGGAAGAATCTCATCACCTCAGCCCCTGTTAACACAGGTATGTTGTATGTTTCTTCAGTCTGTTTTGGAACTTTGAGTGTAAGTGAGCAGCTGGTGGGAATCAGGGCCAAGATGGGGATGGAGTGCTGTTTGTGAGGAGACTGGAGGGGTGTGTGTGTGACTGTCACACAGAATGGTTTTACTGTAAGTTAGTTCTCACTGATAAAGTAATCATTCTGAAGCTAGAAGAAGGAGAGATGCCTGCATCCTAGATGTAATTATTACTTTTTCCTTTATGTGGCACAGGGGATTGAGCCTAGGGCCTGTATTCATATGCTCTAACACTGACCTACATTTCTAGGGCCTGTATTCATATGCTCTAACACTGTGTACTGTTTTGAGACAGTTTCTCCTTAAGTTGCCCAGGCTGGCCTTGGACTTACTCTGTAGCCTATATAGGCCTTGAATTTGTGCATTCCCCTGCTTCTGTCTTTCCAGAAGCTGTATTTCCTGGTCTGTGGAAGCAAGCCTAGCTTAAATTTAGTAATTATATATAAAAATTGCATTTTATTTGTTTTGTCTTTATATACTTAAAAAAAATCTCTTAGATATGGACCTTTTCAATCATAATCATATTGTTACTGTACTTATAAGTAATAATAAGATTAATAAATGGTCCCTAATCCTGTTGAATAAGTTAGTTTGTAGTTTTTTTTCCTCTCAGTCAACTTAGAAATACCCTTTAATTTTGGTTTGTTCAGGTGAGGATCCAAAGTCCATACTGAACTAGGATTATTGCAAAAAACAAAAGCCTTACCTGCCCTCTTTGTATGTTTGGGTACGTGAGAGGGATTTTATTTGACATTAAATAGCTATCCTTCTTTTGAATGTTACATAATTGTACATATTTATGGGGTACCATGTCTTTTGTTACATACAGAATGTTCAGTGACTATTGGAGTTAACATACCTACCATCTCAAGTTTAGCTTTTTTTGTATGTGGGAGGCATTTACAAATCTCAGCTGCTAGCTGTTGAACTATTCAGTAACTTGCTGTGCCCACCTTATTATGGTATAGGATGCTCCTTTTTATTTTCATCATATCTGCTGAAGATGTGAGTGATTAGTCCATTGTGTCCTTGTGGTTGTGTGTCTTTACCCTTGCCATGTTGGTGTAATGCTTGAATAGACTCAGGTTTGACTTTGCTGACAGGTGCTCACTGATGGTGCTTCGGCCTTCCTTTTTCTCCCCTTTGTACTTCTCACATTAGTTTTGTAAGCCTGTCTGTCTGTCTTTCACATACGATTCTGTGGACTCTTGGTGGTATTGCTCGGATCCAGCTATTATAAAGGTTCTCCCTCCCAAAATTTTCACCTTCATGATTTTAGTCATTTGTTTACATAACACTCATTTCTGATTTATGAGATGGAGTCACTTGTAGTTCAGGTTGGCCTAGAACTTGCTATGTACCCCCAGTCTAGCTTCAAACCTAGAAATGTTGCCTATCCTGTCCTGAATGTTAGGATCCCAGGCACGAGCCGCTACGCTTGGCTCAATAAACTGTTATCTGTAAGCCAATTTGACTCTTCCAAGGCCTTTTAGCTGCCTTTGAATTGATTAGTTATGAGGAGAAAACTGGCTCTTTTGGAGTCTTTCCAAAGTGCGCGGGTAGAGATTGTACTGAGGTGTGTGTTCTCACTCACTCTGGACAGTGAAACTGTCTCCTCTCCTGTTTGCCTCATTTAGATCTGAGGGGCACCGTCCAGTCATACTGTCTCACTAGATTTTGCTCCTGTTCTCAGAGATGAATAGACTGCAAAGAATCTTCCTAAATCTCTTTGTGTCAGTGAAAGATGCTGAGGGGGAGCTTCAAACGAGAGGCAGCTCTACTGAAATGCAATCATTTGTGAACTAACACTTTCTTTAGACAGTCACTAATGGCTTGAAATACGTGAAGGGTTTTATAATTTTGACTTGTATATTCAGTTAAATTTGTTTTTGATCTATCCTTTGAATATTCAGAGTGAGAGTATTCTTATTTCCCCTTATTTTCTTTCTTGTACTGTTTCTGCATATCTTTCTCTATAGTGTATTACAAAGATAAAGGACATTTCTTTAACAATTCAGTTCATCTTATAGCCACCCTGTGAAGAGGTCCTAGAGGTAAAGAAATAGAAGGTTTTGTTATTTTTAAACCCAGTCCGTGATTTGCCCAGTACCAGACTGATGGTCACTGGCCATTGGCCAGTTCTTACATTGTCCGTTAGCCACGCACTGATATGTCCTTAACCCTTCTTAACTCTGACTTAGTTTGCTCCACCCTCCTAATTTGTTTGAATGTACATTTTTCCTCTGAGTATTAAATTATTAAAAATTTTTACTTGCCATTCTGAAGAAATTTTGTACTTAAAAGCCACAAAACCCTGACGGAGAAGTGAATACTTGTAATGCCATTACTTGGGAGGCAGGGGTAGAGGATCTAAAGTTTCAGTCTATTGTGGGCTACGTAGTCTCAGGGAAAAAGAAGAAATATTTAGTATTTAGTGTGCTCTTTACCCAGATTCTCTCATTGGCAATATGTAACACAACCATGATGTAATGATGCCCTAGGAAACTGTTGCAAGGAACTTTTTCAAGGTTTAAAAATTTTGTGTATGCAAAAAAAAAAAATTTTTTTTTTTTTAAATGTGTGCATGTAGACTTTCATAGTTCCATTGTGCAAGGAGTTTGGATTGTTTGGTCTGACTTGCTCTTACAGTTAGTGTTTATGGTTGGATGCCTTGTTGACCTGAAAATAAATTGGATTGCATGCGTTTTATTTGAAAGGAGAAATGGAAAAAAAAAGTGCTTTTCTTACAACTTTTGCACCATTGCATTTTTTTTTAGACCTTTATTTCGATGTTGAAGAAAATGGTCATTATTTAAAATAAAGGTGGTTCTTTCTAAATGATTTATCCAGCTATCCCTAGGTACACTAATAAAATGAAATAGATACAACAAGCTTTATAGTTTTTATATTTCTTTCTACATTGAAACTTTCTAGGTAATTTCTTTTGCTTCTGAGTATGTTAGCATAAAGTAGTAAGGCTTTTTAGTAATAAGAGTGACCACAGGTTGCTATTTTTCTTGAGACAGTGTTTTTCTGTGTAACAAACCCTGGCTGTCCTGGAACTCACTCTGTAGACCAGGCTGGCCTTAAACTCATCGCCTGTCTCTGCCTCCCGAGTTCTGGGATTAAAGGGTGGGCCACCACCACCTGACAAAATGTTACAATTTTGAAAAATGTTTGTTTTGTGCAAAATGACTGAATTGTCATCGTAGAGAGATTAGATCTGGGTTCTTAGCCGTCAGTTGGATGCTGCTGCTGTTTTCTGTGAATGTGTCTTTCTGGCTCTGCTAGTGCCTGGTGAACCCAGTCCTTCACAGGCACACTTGAATGCGTCTCAGTTACACAGAGCTTGAAGTAACCCTACAGGTCAGGGTAGCGTCTCCGTAGCTTGTTCTTTTCTGTAGTCATGTTTTGAGGGTTTGTTTTTGAGGATATATTTCCCTCTTCAGCTAATGCAATATAAGGATGTCTGTCTGGGCTGTGAGATGGCTCAGTAGGTTAGAGGACTTTCTGTGCAACTCTGATGACCCTAACTCGCTGTGGAGCCAGAGTACTGATTCCCAGAGCTGTCTTCTGACCTTCATGATGCAAGTGTGGCATGCATGCCCATTATACACTACAATAGTGGATAAGAAAAGTCTAAAACAAGGAATCTCTCTCATCTGTGTTCTCTCCTCTCCCTTTTCCCTTACTTCTATTGATAGTTCAGAGAGAAACATCCATTCCTTCTTCGGAAATGTTGGTTATCACTGAGAAGAACAAGGCATAGTGACAGTCTGTATTCAGGGTTGGAATTCAGGCCATGAAGTCACCATTGGCATTCAGAATGCAGTTAAGGTTTGCTGCAGGATGAAATTGTTTTCTGAAACAAGTCTGGCAAATTTATGGCTGTCAGATCTTGTAATACATTTAAGAATACAAGGTAAATTAAATAAGTGGCCTTTTGTGATTAAGGTAGGCAGTTTGTTGATGTAGGAAGAGGTGAACACTGCATTGTCTTCTGCTTGAGGTCACTCTGCAGAAGACTCTGAAAACGTGCCTGCCGAGCGTATTCAGGCACGTTTGCTTCCCCCAGATGCTCTGGTCCTCTTTTACCATGGCCTGTCTTGGTTTTTGTTATTTTTAGCAGTTTTGGTTTTTTCCCTGTCTCGGGAATGAGAGAGTCTTTTCCAGACAGAAGTCCGGCTATAGAGAAGAAGATTCCTCAGGGCTATTTGCTGAGGGTTTTCTGGAAAGAATGGTTATTACCAGGGAAGGTTTTCCTTTTGTTTTACTTGCTATCCAGATGCTGCTCAGACTCTCGCTCTCGCACAGGATCACAGTATGGATATTCCAAGTCAAGACCGACTGAAGGTAAAATCACCACACGGTGACTTCTTTTCTTGTACAGAGTGGCCCCTTCTCTGTACCTGTGGATCTTGGGCTCCCAAGGCCTTTTTGTGAATGTGGTAAGAATTTGGTAAGAAAAGTCCTTGGGAGTTCACAGACCAGGGACAGAGTGAACCTTCTCTGTTCTGCCCTTACCAGAGTTCCAGTCTCTGAATGTGTCTTTGGGATGTAGCACTTCTGATTTCCACTTCTTCCAGTTGCTCTCTCTCTCTCTGTTTGTCTGTCTGTCTGTTTCTCCCTTTCTCTGTGTGTGTATGTGTGCGCGCGCGTGCGCGCACGTGAAGCTCTCTCGAGTGCGAGTGTGTTTGCACATGCGTGTGTAAGATGGTACATTCTCGGGTCTTTGAGAATTGCTGTATTAGACTGTAGCAGGCTCATTGCAGTTAAGTTCATGTCATGCTATTTCCTAAAGTTTCCACAAACCTGGGGAAACTTTAAGATCATCTTGGAATGTGGTGAGGATGTAGCATGTTTTCTGAATGAAGTGATATAAAGTAGGCTGTGCAGACAACCCGTTTTTAAGAGTGTGTTTTGTCTTTGTACAGTGGTTATTCCCCTCTCCCGAGTCTGGGAACCTTGTGGCTCTTTCCGTGGTGTTGAGAGGTGTTATGTTGCTTTACTTGACAACTCTTGTCAGCTGCAGAGCTCTCTTTCTTGTGCATAACCCATTGTGTTGCACACTAACTGGTGAGCCAGAATGGAACTGCTACATCCCCTGGTCTCAGTCATTTCTGCTCTACTGATAGACACCCTTCCCTTTCAGCACAGTGCAGCAGAAGGTTCCAGTCCCGGAAGAACTGAAGGTGATACCCTAACCCTGCCTACCTCACAACATAAAAGCAGAGACTCTAGAGGAGGTGAGCTTTGGATTAAGCCTCCTCCCCCTTGCTTTCTTCTTCCTTCATTTGTCCTCTAGAAATGGCATCTGCTGAGGTCCTGCCACAGCCTGGATTCAGGTCCTGAGAAGGGGAAGGGGTGTCGGCATTAAGAAATGCCAGATGAGTTTCACACAAGTGGTCGGCCCCGAATAGCTCCAGCAATCTGTATTTATACTTCCAAAACAAGCATCAAGCATGTTTTCCCATACTAACAAACAGGGTTTTTCCATCCTCCAATGTTAACCTCCAGCAAAAACAAATATGTCAAGTGTTTTCTCCCAGCTTTTACATAAAAAGATCTTTAAACCAAAAACAACACTTGTCATTTTGGTAGCTTGGTCAGATTTCGAGCCCTGTCTTCACAAAAGTAAAAGGTGATAGACATAGGCACACATTTTCAAGACCAATAATCCATTGAAAACATGTTTACGGAAAGAGGGCTATCTGCCTCCATCCTGTCAGCACTGACTCAGACAGCTCCTGTGGTCTGAAGTGATGGCTGCCATCTTCAGACAAGAAACATGAGACGTATCAGTTCCTAAAGAATTTTAGGGAAAAATATTTGAGAAAAAAATGGGTTTCCAGGAATGATCACATCTGTCTTGTGCATGACTGACAATAAAACTGCCAAGAGAATCTTGAGTATTGTGAGAGAGGAGAGAGCATTCTATGCTGTCCCAAAGTCCACTGGCCCTTGCCACGTGAGACTGTCCCCGTGGGCTTTGGCCTCTCGTGGACACCAACTGGACAAGCACTCATGTGCTGGTCTGAAACCGCTGCTCGGCTCCCAGCGGGCATCCGTCTGAGCAAAGCACTGATCCTTTGCATGAGCTAGCAAGCTTGAGCGGATGATGTCCTCCGTGTGTACAATCACTGCGCTCCGCCATTTTCAGTTTGGGTTGCCCTCTGTAACTTCATATTTTAACTTGGCTTTTATCTTTTGAGGTGGCAACTAGTTTTTAATGATTTAAAGTTTGGACAAATGGCAAAGTATATGTATTAACAGCATAGAGGCAAACATGAACTAGCAAGTTGAGAAGTTCTGTTGCCCTGGGAGAACCTTTCATCATGCCGGACACATGGTCAGAGGGAGTGAGTTAGTTAACTGATATCTTGGAAGTTTCTCCTAAAATATTTTCTGAAATTTTGGAGGGTTTTCCTTTTTTCTTTTTTATACAAAACCACAAATTTCCCCGAAGGTATTTAGTTGATTGCATAATATTTTTAGTATCTGGTTCCTGGTTCATAATTGGGTCAAAGGCAGATCAGACTTTGGATTGTATCTTAAAAAGTTATGTTGCTAAAGTTGTTTTATATGTTTAAATTAAATTTGAATTAGTTTATCATGCTGGCATGTTCTCCCACTGTATTTGAACATAAATTGGTTTTTAGTTTGTGTTTACATTGATCCTATTTTAGTCTTTTAAATGTGCACTTTTATATCAGATCCTTATTTCTACTCACAAAAAGCTTTTTAAAATAATAATTCAAGACATTATATGCAATTTCTGATGTAAATTTAGGAATGAATAGTTCCAGAATTTCCCAGGAAGTTATAGGTAGGAAGGACAGCACTTTTACCTGTGGAAAGAACTATTCATATTCCTTTCATAATAAATTGTAGAGGTTAAATATCTGAGGGTAACTAGTGAGTCTGTCTTGGGAATTAGTTTCTGATTATTACAGTAATGAATGGATGGAAATGTAATTGAAGTTTCTCTGGCCACAAATATGCCTGTGCTAACAGCACGATGTAATTAGTTATGCTTTGGCAGGGACCAGTTTATTGCAGGAGTCTTTGAATGATAGGTACCCGGGCACATTTATGCTTCCGTGATTGCCGTCGTCAGATGCAGTACATTGGGAAGAGGGAGAAAACAGTGAGAAAGTAGAGAAACGGTGAAGTGCTAAAAGGACTAGAAAAGATCACGTGCAGCAACAAGAACGAACTTAGTAGCTGTCTAGGTCTCTACGTAAAATAAAATGTGTGGGGCCGTGTCATCTGTAGTACTTTTGGGCACTGGTCTCTCAAGGAGCCCTTGATCCAAAAAAGACACATAAATATGTGCTTATTTGGATAGTTTGGAGTTCTCCGTGGATAGGTGTCACCTAACAAAACATAAGCATTACTGATAAATATCCCAGATACGTGGCACCAGTAAGATTTCAACCTTGTGACTCCCCATTAGGATCGCTGCCTCCCTGTTTTGGTCTCAAGGCTTGGGCTACTGCATCATTTCCATTTGCAATCCACTGGCTAAGCCATTACCAAGTCATGTATTAGAATAAGTCACTGTTGTTACTTGATTTTGAGACGGGCTCTCACTGTGTAACCCTGGCTAACCTGGAACTTGCTGTGTGCTAGGATTAAAGGCAGGTATGTGTTACCATGCCTGGCTCTAAGTCATTATCATTGTTTATTACATGCTTCTTCGAGTTTTGTGTCCTGAAGTAATCTGCTCATAGTGTTACTACTTGCTAATGAAACCTAAGTGGGAGATTTGAGCCATGCCACTAAAGTATTTATTTCTGTTTCTTTCTTACTGACAACAGCAGTTTCTTTTTATTTACTTTTACAAAGATTGTTAAGTAAGTATTATGAGAAAGTCTTAGTGGTCGTTATTACCTATAGTTATTTTCATTTGGTTTCTGTAGATGAAGACTTAATAGAACATTTAACTGAGGATGGGACATCTAGGCTGGACCTTGACTTTGAGGAGTGGGATGTTGCTGGCCTGCCGTGGTGGTTTTTAGGGAACTTGAGAAACAACTATATACCTAGAAGTAATGGTTCGACAGATTTACAGACAAATCAGGTAAAAGTCAAATCTGTTGTGTTTTGTACTGTTTTGTTCTTGCTTACCCTGACCGTATTGCATCCTTAGTTAGACTTGCTTACTGCCTTGTGTTATCTGTATGAATGTGATGCTGACTTTTCCAGATTCCACAATGAACGCCTATATAAGTGGTGGTCACTCTTACTGACCTTGGATATGAAATCGATGTTTTTTCAACCAAGCACTCCTTCCCTGTCTTTTCTTTCTATTTAATAATTTTAGCCAAACTACAGGAGATACTGACTTCTTCCTCTGTCATATACGTTCAGGTTGTCAGGACTTTATCCAGAACATATCCGAAGCTAACTTGTTTTATAGTAAACTACTTTAATTGTCATGACCCAGTTTAAGCCATTACTGATTTTCATGTAGGTAGTAGGGCAATTTCATACCATAGCAACATTTTCTTGTCTTTAATACTTTTGATTTTTATAAAAGTACTAATCTTGTGCGTTTGTACTGTGTGTGTACTGTGTGCTCTGATACCCTCAGAGTAGAGGGGAGTGTCGGTCTCCTGGAACTGGAGTTGCAGCAGTTGTGAACGCCATGTGGGTGCTGGGAACTGAACTTGGTACTCTTAACCACTGAGCCAGAACCAGGCACGAGTTTCCTCCTGTGGAATTGTTCTTGTAATCAGGAAGTGGTTGGTGTACTGGCTGGTTTTGTGTGTCAACTTGACACAAGCTAGAGTCATTAGAGAGGAAGGAGCCTCAGTTAAGGAAATGCCTCCGTGAGATCTAGCTAAGTAAGGTATTTTCTCAAATAGTGGTCAGTGCAGGAGGGCCCAGCCCCCTCTTGTGTGTTGCCATCCCTGGGATGGTGGTCCTGGGTTCTGTAAGAAAGCAGGCTGAGCAAGTCATGAGGAGCAAGCCAGTAAGCAGCACCCTCCATGGCCTCTGCATCAGCTCCTGCCCTGTTTTGTCCCTGTCCTCCCTCACCAGTTTGTTGTTTGGTCACGGCGTTTTATTGCAGCAATAGAAACCCTAACTTACCCCACAGCAGACCATTATTCCACCAGTGGGCACATCTCACCTGAGAAGTTGGTATTAGAGGGCTCTTCTCATCTAGGTATGACCGTTGATGAATGTCTCCCCAGGAATACACTTTTGGTGGTGTTTTTTGTTTTTGTGAGACAGGGTCTCTACATATCCCTGACTGTGTGTCCTGGTACTTAACGGTATAGATCAGTCTGATCTCAAACGCACAGAGGCCTGCCAGCTTTTGCCTCCCGAATTCTTGGCAAGAGTACATTTTTTAGTGAATAATTTACGTCACTGCCATAGTTATAATTCTTCAGTGGGATGAGAAACAATTAGAATCAGATCTGGCCTCCTTACCATAGCTGTAGCTTGTCTTTACCAGTTTCCATTGTTCACTGCCTACGGTCCAGACACAAAACCTTGAATCCTGAGGCTCTGATTTCCTTCTTCTCCTAGGCAATTTAAATTTGTTTTCTGCTTTGTGAAACATTTTCTCCCCCAAATCTTTTTATTTCCTTCTCACGATTTAGAGCTTGACTTGAATGTAATTTCTTTTTGGAGGTCATCATCACTAGTTCCAGAGGGGTCCATTTCTTATTTTGTTGATGTGCATTGTACTTCTGTGAAGTAATCCTGTAAAACCCACCCTCAAAAGTTCCTCCTCTCCAGCCACCCTATTCCTTTAACTTTTTTTTTCTTAAGTCCTTTTATGTTGTAAAAGTTATATAAAAGTAATGGGTTTCATTATTGCATTCCCATATATGGTTTTTTGAGTAAAAATGCTTTTACTAATAACAAAAGTGAGTAGACAAACAAGCTGGACATTCATAACATGAATCAACTTGGCATAAGTAGTTAGCAGCTTTATTATTTATATTTATAGTAAGATAGAATAAGACAAAAATCTGTCATGCTTACCCCTTCCATCTCAGTTCATATGAGCTTTGCTCAATTGATTTACAGGGTCATATATCTGTTCTGGTTTTTTTTTTTTTTTTTTTTTTTTGGAGATAGGGTCTCACTAAGTAGCTTTGGTTGTCTTGGAACTTACTACATAGACCAGGCTGGCCTCAAACTCACAGAGATGTGCCTGCCTCTTCCCCCTAAGTGCTGGAATTAAAGGTGTGTGCCACTGTGCCTGACTCTGTTTCGTTCTTTTCTTTTTTTAATTTTTTTAACTTTTATTTTTTGAGACAGGGTTTCTCTTTAGCTTTGGAGCTGTCCTGGAACTCGATCTGTAGATCAGGCTGGCCTCGGACTCAAAGAGATCTGCCTGTCTCTGCCTCCCGAGTGTTGGGACCAAAGGCGTGAGCCGCCACTGCCCGACTCATTCTTAATGGTCCTCCATTCCCACTTTCTCCTCCACCTGGTGGTCCCTCCCCCCCAGTCCCCTCCCCAGTCCCCCCCCCCATCTGTTTTCATATCACCTGGACTTTCTTCCAGTCCCTTAATATCTCTATTTTTCCTTTATAATAGTTTCACGACTCCCCCCACCACACACAAAATTAAAATGTAGAACATGCATATGACAGATAACATTCAGTGTGTGTGTTTTCTGAGTCTGGCTTCTTTCCCTTAGCATAATGCTCCCTGGGTCATCAGTGTTCCTGAAAATGTCTTTTCCCTTAAGGCTGAATAAGATTCTGTTGTGTTTAGGTACCATGTCGTCTTTATCTACTCATGTGTTTATGAATGTCTAGGGTAGTTTCACTCCTTAGCTGTTGTTGTGAGAAGGACAGCAATAAACATGGATGTGCAGGTTATCTATGTGATAGGGTTAGGGTCCTCTGAGTATATACAAGAGTGGGAAAGTTTTATGTGAGACCTTCACACTGGTTTCCACAGTGACTACACTGTTTTATTGTTATTGGTTTGTGTGTGTGCGTGCTTGTGGCCTGCTGTTATCTTAGCTGACTTCTCATTAGAAATACTGTTAGGTTTTATATTCATTTATATATATTCATTTATTTAGATTTTTGAGACAGGGTTTCTCTGTGTCATACCTGTCCTAGAACTCACTCTGTAGAACAGGCTGTGATCCTCCTGCCTCTGCCTGCCAAGTGCTGGGATTAAAGGTGTGCACCTCCACTGTCCGGCAGGTTTTATATTGATAATTATTGTTTACTTTCGTTGATAGGTAAGCTAGGCTTTTGCATTGATCATTTACCCAGTATCTAGAATAGTATCTGCTATGCATTCCGTGAGTGAGTGTTCTTTAAAAGAAGGTCATAGGAAAGAAGCAAACACAAAGAAACTTCTATTAAATGTCATAAGGATAATGGGCTGGAGAGGTGGTTCAGAGGATAAAAATGCTCTGCTCTTGCAATGGACCAGGGTTCAGGTCTCAGCATCCACATGGTGGCTCACAGGTTGTTAGAGCTCCAGCTCCAGGTGATCCCCTTTTCTGGCCTCTGGGCACTGCATGTAGCAGAACACATATACACATAAAATAAAATTCTGAAAACATGTCTATAGATGAATGTGAAAGTTTAAGTTTGCATGTGTTGGTGCTGTTTAAAGCCTCCAGAAGGCATGTATGTGTGGTAGTGTGTGGTGTAGTCTCAGCACTAAGAGCCTGGGGGCAGGAAGATGTTGAGTTTTAGGCCAGCCTGAGCTACATAGGGAAGTCCATGCTCACAAGGACTACATAATGAAATTGTTTTTCAAAAAGAAACACAGATTTCAAAAGGGTCATGTTCAAAGAGTGGGATTGCCATCTGTAACTGGAAAGCAGTCACTGATCATAAATTAGGAAGGAATTTGTCGAAAAGCATAGCGCTTGCCTAGATTCTCTTGTGGAGGTGACTGTCGAGTGCGTTGTATTTAGTAGGGCAACTGTTTTTAAGCTCTTTGTGCCCTTTTTATGGTATGTCATACCTCATTTAGTGTTAAAAGATCCCTTGTCAGGTACCTGCAGATCAGATCTACCTACTCTGTAACCATAGGAGGCAACAAATAGAGGCTACTGAATGAAGGCATGCCTGTTGAGGGAAGGCACGGTGTTCTCTGGATGGCATGTGAGGACATTAAGTAGGTTCAACATCTGTCAACATCTGTCATAAGTCACTGATTACAAAGCTCACTTTTGTTTTTCTCTGTTAGGATGTAGGTACTGCCATTGTTTCAGACACTACGGACGATTTGTGGTTTTTAAATGAGTCAGTGTCAGAGCAATTAGGTGTTGGAATAAAAGTTGAAGCTGCTAGTTCTGAGCAAGCAAGTGCAGTAGGGAAACCCAGTGACAAAAAGGTATGTTTGACATTTCCCCCGATTGTAGCTGTCTTTATAGTGTCGTCTGTGTGCCCAGTTTTCAGATTTAGATTACATTAGACAAGGCTGCCGTAGAAATGAGCCAAGATTCATGGAGAAGCTCTCGTTGTTTTAGGGACATGCTGCCCCTTCCCTCCTATGGCCTTGTAGAGTATTTCTTCTAGAAACTTATGCTTACAGGCAAAGCTGTAAATGGCCTCAGCAGCTCTGTCACAGGAGAAAAACCCTTATGTCTTAAGAGCCTTAAGTAGCTTTGTAACCACTTTATAACTGAATTGGAAAAAGCTGATTTTTAAAATCTATTTAAAGTTAGTATGGTTTTTCTCCTAAATTAAGAAGAGAGTTCTCCTGCTGCTCTTCCGGAGGGCCTGAGTTCACTTCCTGGCACCATGGCTGGTGGCTCAGTACTTCTCACTCTATTTCAGGGGATCTAATGCTCCCTTCTTGCCCCTTGGGCACTGTGTTCACATGTGTGAACCCACATAATTAAAAAGAAAGTCATGAAATAAAAGGAGGTAGAGCTGGGTGTGGTGGTATATGCCTTTAATCCCAGCACTGGGAGGTAGAGGCAGGTGGGTGGATCTCTTGAGTTTGAGGGCAGCCAGGGCCACAAAGAGAAACCCTGTTTTGAAAAAACTTTAAAAACAAACAAACAAAAAGCAGGAATTGGACCTCTGAGTGCCCTGGTGTGAGCACACACAGTAAAGCAGCTCAGCTGTCAGAAGAATTGGCAGCAGAGCCATGCTTAGAACAGAGACCTGTCTCAGTCACACCATTGAGTGTGTGTGTGAAAACATACGAGACCCAGCTTTTAAAAAAGGTGAAAGAAAAAACATTGAATACATGTAGCAGTGGATAAAGGGGACAACAGAAACAAATGCTGGGTTAAATTGGGCCATCTCATTCATATAGTTTTTTGTAGGAATTTGGGTTTCTTGTTATATATATATATGTTAGATTCTCTAAACCAATTAAAGCAACATTGGGAGGAATGTTGGTGGCTAAAATGGAGATGACAGAACAAAACAGGTCTTAATATACTTGAACTTTTGAGGGAGAATCATAAGAGTTTTGCTGTATAGACCTGGCTGTCCCAGAACTCACAGAGCTCTACCTACCTCTGCTGGGATTAAATGTGTGCACCGCTACCACCTGGCCATTAATTGCTGTTTTTATGTTTCTGGAATATGTTTTCTTTGAAGTTGTGAATTTGGGCCCCTTTTTCTGAATATAGAAGATATTTGGTAACCCTGTGGTTCCTTTTCCGTCATTACTGTTGTCAACCATATGTGTCCAGGACATTTATGTAGTCTCCTTTTTAAGTGAGTTTTATATTGAGACTCATCACTTTTGCTTCAATAAAGCAGGTTAACACTTGTAACGAGGTCTGTTCACCTTCACAGATGGTTGAAATGGGGAAAGATGATGATGCTGAGGACCTTAAGTCCTTGAGCGATGACACCGATGTGGAGCTTACCTCTGAGGTAAAGGCTGTTCTGCTGTGCTTAGTCTTCAGATTTATTTTTATTTTGTATGTATTGCTCTGTATGTATGTCTGTGTGCCACTTGTGTGTCTGGTGAAATTGGAGGCCAAAAGAGGATGTTAGATGACCCCCCCTCCGTGGAACCCACATTACAGGGCATTATGAGCTGCCAACTGGGTACTCGGAGCCAAACCTGAGTCCTCTGGAAAAACAAGCAATGTTCTTAACCACTAAGCCATCTTTCCAACCCTTTGATAAAGTTTCATTTTTTTAGTCACTGGCCAGACAAGGAATAAATTGTGAATGGAAAAATGACCTGAAAGAAGGCATTAAAAAGAAGTAAAGAAATATAAATGTCATCCAACCTGGGTGGTGGTGGCGCACACCTTTAATCCCAGCATCGAGTCGGAGGCAGGCGGATCTCTGTGAGTTCGAGGCCAGCCTGGGGTGTACAGAGCGAGTTCCAGGACAGGCTCCAAAACTACACAGAGAAACCCTGTCTCGAAAAAACAAGACAACAGCAACAATAACAAAAATCATCCAAACTGGATAGAAAGCCAAAATAATTAACTTACTTAAAAGATAGCCATACTAAATTTTGATTTGATAATAACAGTTGTGGCACTATCAATGTAAAACATCCAAAGATTTCCTTCCATGTGAGTATAGAATTTATTCAGGTCTCAGATTGGCTCACTGGTATGAGATGTCTAGACAAATGCTCAGTGAAATGAGAATTGGCACATCCTCCCTTTTTTGGTGTTTATTGTGGGGTGAACATAATTTTCTTGGCATCTTTTTTTAACCACAGTTTTAATTGGCTTCCTTTAACCTCTTGTAGGATGAGTGGCAGTGTACAGAGTGCAAGAAGTTCAACTCTCCGAGCAAGAGGTACTGTTTTCGTTGCTGGGCCTTGAGGAAGGATTGGTATTCGGATTGTTCCAAATTGACTCATTCTCTCTCCACATCTAATATCACTGCCATACACAGCAAGAAAGATAATGAAGGAATCGATGTTCCCGATTGTCGGAGAACCATTTCAGCTCCAGTTGTTAGGCCGAAAGATACATATTTAAAGGAAGCAAATACCAAGTTTGACCCTTGTAACTCAGTGAAATTTTTGGATTTGGCTCATAATTCTGAAAGCCAAGAGACCATCTCAAGCATGGAAGGACAAGCAGATGTCCTTTCCGAACAGAAAATGGATACAGAAAGTATGGAGGATTATCACAATATTTTGAAGCTGTGTAGTTTATGTGAAAAGAGGCCGCGGGATGGGAACATCATTCATGGGAGGACCAGTCACCTCACTACTTGTTTCCAGTGTGCCAGAAGGTTAAAGAAGACTGGGGCTTCATGCCCCTCTTGTAAGAAACAGATTCAGTTGGTTATTAAAGTTTTTATAGCATAGCTGAGTCAGTCGCAGAGAAATATTAGGACCAGGTCATTTCTCAAAAATCAGTATTCTTGGAGGCAGGCGTAGAAGATCACCTAGTTTGATGGCCGTCTGGGCCATTTGAGACCTTGTTTTTAAAAGAGTCAGTATTGAGCGTCTTTCATGAGTGTGACCCATTGTGTGTGTCTGTTTATATAAGCATATGTGGGATTTTAGACCATCAGTTTGACGGTTTCTTTAACGTAAGAAGATACATAAGTCACTTTGTCCTTCCAGATCTTAAATCTGAGAGGGAATAATACCAATACAAACATAACAGTGCATTCTGATGTGCACTTGCCACATTAATGCAATATTAGTTGATTTTGTTCTCTACCCTTATGTAATGTCATGGTGCATCAAAATCTAAGGAAGTTATTAGAAAAGTAATAGGGCCAGCACTGAAGAAACAGATCTGACCAGTCACTTACTATGCAGCCAGGGGTGACCTTCAACCCCTGAACTCCCTTAGTCACGTACTATGCAGCCAGGGGTGACCTTCAACCCCTGATCCCCCTCTCTCTTGCATCCACTTCCTGTGCATACAGCCTGTCCTACTGTGCCCAGGCGAAGTCTCCCAGCTTAGCTCAAATGAATGACAGGAGTGTGCGCCACTGCACAGCCTTCTGAAAGAGAAGGCACAGACCTTGTAGCCAATACTCTGCATTTGCCTCCTGGACGCTGACAAGGTGTTTTTGAGCTCTGTCTCTGGAATTGTTTACACTCTGAGGTCATGGCTCATGACAGGGTTTGAACAAGTGGGGAGAAGAAAAGGGAGAGAAAAAAATTAATCTTTAATTCTGCTTAGTCATTTTAGACCTAATCCTTCCCAAATAGTTCCTCCACCTGGGGACCAGATATTCAAACAGGAGCCTCTGGGGGCCATTCTCATTCAGACCACCAGTAGGCAAAGGAGCGCTTTCCTGGCCACATCCTGTCACTGCTTCCAGTTGATAATGTCACTAATTGTAGCAAACTTAAGTAGGGTTGGCCTTTCCTCAGTGGTCAAGTCCTTGTAATTACAGACCTTCTGCCAGTATCAAGAAGTCCCGCAGCCCCCGTTCGGCTCGATGCGCAGCCTGTGAGAGCCTCATAACAGACATCTTTATCCACATCGTCATGGTAGTGAGAAGCACAAAGTAGCTTAGAGGTTATCTCAGATGTCGTCAGTCACAACCCCTGCTTCAGGACCGGCTGGGGCGCATCCAACCCTGGACTCCAGTCATCTCCTAGCCAGGATGAGGACCTCCTTCTGAGTGGAGCTGGGCCTTTAGGATTGTCAGTTCCAAGCACTACATTGAAAACAGACTGTGTTAAAGTGAGTTGTTATACTTCTCCCTAATGATGTTACATTTGGGGCAGGGTCTTGCTGTTTAGCTGTGACTGCCCGTGCCTCACTCACCCGGTGTCTCAGGCTGCCTTCAACCATGCAGTGATCTTCCTGCTTCTTTTGCCCCTCCCCCTCCAGTGCTGGGATTACAGGCATGTGCTGGCTTACATTTCTTACTTTGGTTGTCCTTCAGGTTAGTACTTGTGATCATGCTATCTTCTACAGAAAGTAGAGCAGAGATGATGGATTATTAGAAAAGTCTGCTCACTGTTCGTGTGTTCCTAACACAGGACTTCATGGTCGTAGGCATGCGTCTGTGTTAACTAGTGTGCCAGACTACAAGTTCAGACCAAGCCTGCCCATCTTGGATATCATACTTTTCCCAGTGAGGGCTGGAACTGGTAGGTTGGCGCAGCCAATCCAGCCTCCTAACTGCCACAAAATTGCATAATGGCACAGTTTACTGCCAAGCATTTATGGTTGTGTGATATTCATTATTTGTGTATATGTAGGTATATGTGGTACTTTGCGTGGGTTGAAAGAATTTATTCTGAAAGCCAGGATCACTTGTAACATGCATGTGTCAGTTCAATGTAATAGTTCCCAGGAAAAGTCACAGTTGTGAAATTGGTGAATGTTCCCGGTTCCCTAATGTTACCTGTTTGGTTTTGTTTTTTCCTGTTCCCATGATGTTCTGTGAAATTCAAAAGTGCATGGCTTTAGATACTGTGATTGTTATTTTTCTTTTTGCCTAAATTGTTGCTTCAGCCTAAAGATTATTTCTGATGCCTCCAACCATTCGTGCATTGCACACGAGGTTGATGCTACCTTTGCTAAAAATCTTTAGATAAAGAATTAATTAGCTGTTTAGAATCTTCACTTCAAAGACAAACCTGGAAGCTGTCCTCTGTGCCAAAAGTAAAGTGTGCAATGTTTACAGATGGGTGGGAGTTTGCACTGCCACAGGGAATGGTGAGGTTGTGTCACCAGATCCCTTAGCTTAGCTTTAGGAGTAGATAGTTGCAATTAAGCTTATGAGAGGAACTGTTGAGCTAGCCCTCCAGGGCTGAACTGGGAACGAGCATCTGAGCAGTGGTGAAAGCGACTCCCTAGACCTGCCTGGGAGCAGAGCCCTGCTTGTTTGGAGATGCTCTTTCTGTTGACAGCTCTTCGCTGTCTGCGGTTACTGTGTGCTTCCTTTAGAGGAGCTGCCAGCCTCCTCTCCTGTGGGAGAGTGTCTTGTAGGCATTTTGAGATCCTTTGATGTAATAAACGTGCAATCCCAAGTAATGCCATTATTGGTGAATGTGGCATTGGTAAAGAAATTCTTACTATAAATTATTTCTGATCTTCCTTCAAAAGCCCCCCCCCCCCTTTCTTTCTTTTCTTTTTTCTTTTTTGAAGAGACAGAGTCTCGCTGTGTAGTGTAGCCCTAGGTTGACCTAGAACTTGCTTTGTAGACCAGGCTGTCTTCAGACTCACAGATGTGCCTGTCTCTTTGTTCTGCCACCATGCCCACCCTCAGTAGCCTTTTGAATGACTGATGTTACAGAAACTGATCTTACATCCCATGGTGCTGCTTCCCCTACTTATTTGTGTTTGCGTAGGAGCCTCTAGTCCCTTCTAAGAGTACAGCACAGCCTGTAGAACTTCCCATTTCCTAAAGTGGAGGAGTCAGAGATGAGCTAAAAGGCAAGAACAGTTCCTTGAGTGGTTTTAGAGTTTGGCAGGTGCTTTACTGAAGAGCAGCATTGTATTGTGATACTTGTGGGCCAATCTGAACATGCAAGTTGTTACCCAAAGGCACTTTGTAATTTTAAACAGCAAGTACTTGGATGTGTGTAGGCATTTCCCCTCCCTCTCTCCCTTACTGTTGCTCTTATGCTCTAGTTCGAAGTTAGCTTCATTTGGATGTTGCTTTTACGCCAGAGGCCATCTGTCACTCTGGACGGTTAGAACTGCATTGTACTTGTATGCGACCCTTTTTTAAACAGTCCTGAGCAATGTTGTGTTTGCAGAGGACCATGAGCTCAGTCAGGGAGGAGGGAGGTTGTGAGGTCAGATCTGTGATCTGGCTTCCTTTGTGTGTGTGATGGGGGTGCTGATTAGTCCACAGTTGATTTGTCTGAGCACTGAGGAATTTGAGGTCAGTGGTCCCCTCTTCATGTAATGTCCTTGGCCGTCTCAGCATTTGGCATAGTAGAAGTTTCTCAGTCAACATTTGAACAAGACTGCCTGTGTCTTGCTGTGAATCGGCGCCTCTTGGATAAAGAACACTTAACCCAGCAGCTTGTAGCATAGTCTGAAAGTTGTAAGCTTCCGCTTTTCTTGACTGTAAAACCAACATACACACCCACCCTTTTCTACCTCAGTTTGTTGTGGAGAGTATTGGGGAGCAACTCTTAAAAGTTACTGCCTTGAAGAAGGTGGAAGAAGCTGGTAGTCCTGGTTGCCTGCTCTGAGGTTTCTATCGAGAATCCCTCATGTTCTAGAAGTGCGTGCGTGCGTCCCTCCCTGCTGCCTGCTCAGCAGGGCCTGTGGCGCTTGCTGCAAGGCTCCTGCCCATACGCCCGTCCTCTCCTAGACACGAGGCTCTTGGTTAGCAAGCATTGTCTCCAGATGCTTTGAGAAGTGTGTGTAAATGTGGGTAGCACATTCTCTCCTGATGGAAGTTCCTTGCCGAATAGGAATCCTATCTGCATGCACTTGAGTAGGTGCCGTAGGATGCTCTGCTGGTGCCCAGAAGTGGGCAGTTCCGGCATCCCAGTCAGGCAGTTGCCAGTACAGTAGCAAATGAGGGTAATAAGTTGAGAATAACGGCAGCTTACTAAGGAGGCCAGAGGGAAGCGTTTCCGTGTGTCCTTATGTAACTTTTACATCGAGTTTAAATAGCCTTGTGCCTGAGTGTTTGCACTATGTAATGCTTTCAAGGCCTTTTACTGTGTTTTTTCTGTGAATAAAAAGTTTTCATTTCACTGTCTGTTGTCATTATTGGAAATTCCATTTTTTGTTATATTTGGCCTGATTAGACTTAAAATTAGTAGCAGCTCCTCCCCTCCCCCCAGGTTGCCTATTAGACTAATTGCATTTATTTCTGCTTCCCACTTAGGGAACTCATTTGAAGCAGTAATATTAAAAATGGAGCTTACCGTGTCTATCGTGTGTGTCCCTAGCATCAGCAGCTGTTCTTGAACTTTTGGAGATTAGAGCCCTTGGAAAACTAAGAAATTTAAAGAAGTTCTTTATAAAGAGTGTTTCTGTTTGTTTTTATAGCCCTGGCTGGTCTGGAGCTTGCTGTGTATCTGGCGCCCAGCTCACAGAGATCCGCCTGCCTCTGCCTCCTGAGTGCTGGGATTAAAGGTGTGCGCCACCACCGCTCGTGGAAGTTAACTCTTAATGAACAATACCTGTAAAAGGAGTTCTTAATTGGTCTAGATAGTAAAAAGCTGGAGTCAGACAATAGTGGGAAATGCTGAGAGGTCAGAGAGAAGGCGTAAGCCACAGATAGCACACCCTACCTCCTAAGCATCTCAACAGAGAGCGATTTCCTGTTTCTCCCTGCTTATACCCTGGCTCACTGGGTCACTTCCTGTCTGTACAGACCTCCAGGCCTCTCTGGTTAGCTAGTGGCAAGCTCCATTCTCTGACCCCCAAACTGGCTTTATTTGTGCAAGAAAGATACAACCACAATACCTGTGTCCTTGAGAATGGACAGAAAGTAGGTTGTTCCCAATCGAGGATTTGTTTTTATCCCACAGTATAAAGCTGCCTCCAGTAGGAAGGTGAAGGCAGGTGTCCATCTTCTCTGCCTACAGCTCCCACGCCCACTAGGAACTAACTGCAGCACATTTGCCTAATTGTCAAGGGCCGTGAGAAACCCAGCAGGCTAACTAACATTCAGCAGGCCAAGCTACCACGTGGATGGTAGGGAGCCACTAAGACTGGAGTCATGGATGTGGAAATGAGTGCTCCCGTCTGCAGTTCCCCTCATGAGTCACTTCGTCTCTTTCCTAAGAAGAGTAGCTTTGGGTGCCTCCCACTGCTTGTGTGTGTGTGTGTCTCATGAAAATATTCCATCTGCTAGTCACATATATCTGTGGGAAGTCAGGAGCATGACTTATCGTTTGGCTGTATAGTCTTGATGTAGAATATATACTGGATGCCTTGAACTCTCATAAAGACCCCAGAGAAAGGAAATTCCTTCTGACTCAGGCAACAGCAGGAGCAAGTGGGCCGCTGCTTTGCCCAAGTATGGAAGCCCCAGCGGGACTTTATACTACATAGCCATAGTTTTCCCCTTCGGTCTAGCAACCTTAAATGTTATGTCTAGGGTTGAGAGGCTCTCTTTAATCAGCTAACATCTGATGAAAATGCTAACTCGGACCAAGTGCCACCCATTTTCCTCCCTCGGCTCCCACAAGTTGCCGTGGCTACCATGACTCTGTGTTCCCAACGGCCTCAGAAGCAGAAGAAAGTTCTTAGAGAGTACACAGCACTGCAGAGTTTTCTTTCCTGCTTTGTTACATTTATCCACCACAAACTTCTAGCTTAACTAGCTATACAAATGTAGTTTTCCATGCAAACTCCCCTTTTCCCCTCACGAAGTCATAGCCCCTTCCTCTGTGACCCTTTTTGCCTCTTAAGTTATGCCCAGACATCTCGCAAGTCACACCCCTGTGAGTCATAGCTAACATAACAGGTGCCCATTTCATAGCTCTAATCTGTCCTCATGGCCCCCGAGAGATGAATGCCTGGTACCCTTTCTATTGCCAGAGAATTGCTAATCGTGTCTGTACGTGCATGTAAACTGGAGACCTTGTGGGATGGGAGACCTGTTTTGAAGAATAAAGAGGCATGGTGAGAAGGAGGTGTGTGAGAGTTGATTCATTCCTTTAGCCCTCAGCTCATCTTTTGACTCCTAAGTGTGGGTTTTTAAGGCTGGTCCTTAAAAGCTCCCATGACCTCATCTACCCCGTGGGTTCTGCTGGGTGTTTGGAAGACCCTGCTATGCTGATGCTGCTCTTTGGTGTAGCATTGGCTGTCCAGGAACTGCAGACCAGTCTGTCCTTGAATTTATGGAGATGCACCCACCTGCCTCTGCCTCCCGAGTGCTGGGATTACGAGTGTGTGCCACCGCATGTGCCCCTGATGTTACCTTTGCTTGCTGTCTCCTTGGGTTCCTCCAGTAAGGATGCATGTTGCTAGTGCTGGATAATGTTTTGCTGTCTGCGGCTTCTCCTTGCTATTGGCTGCTTTCCTTGAACTGGACAGTTGTGAGCTGCAGTGTCAGTGCTGAAGATAACACAGGTCCCCTGGAAGGGCAGCCGGTACGCTTACCCATTGAGCATCTCTCCAGCCCCACTACTTTGTACTTTTTAAAAAATGTGCACGTTGGAGTGGTGTGTTGCAGATGCCCAGCCAACTGGGCGACCTAATTCCCCAGATCCCATGAAAATCCCTATCCCACGTCTGACACCAGATAAAGCGTGGTAAGTAAGAATCTGGGAGACGTAGGCTGAAACAGATGACTGCCGCAGGTTCCCGTCCCAAGGATGCCTCCGGATGCGCTCTCTCTGCCTCTGACCAGGAAGTAAGAGCTCAAGCTGGGATCTGGGACCCCCAGGTCACACGTGCACCTGTCCCCACACGCCAGTGGGTGTGGTCAGAGCAACAGGTGCAGGCAGGGTGGACATCTCACGATAGGGCATTTATTTTTAAATTCTGCCTGGGTGTTTGGGTGAGGGTGTCAGATCCTCTGGAACTGGATTTACAGACAGTTGTGGGTGCTGGGAACCGAACGTGGGTCCTCTGGAAAAGCAGCTCTTAACCACTGCGGCATCTATCCAGCCCTTCTGTTTTTAGTTTTTGTGAGACAGGGTTTCTCTGCATAGCTCTGGCTGGCCTTGAACTCACTATGTAAACCTGGCTGGCCTTGAGCTCAAGAGATCCACCTGCCTCTGCCTGGGTTAAAGGTGTTTGCCACTGTACTTGGTAGTACTTGGCTGTGTGTATAATTAATAAGCTTATTCAGAATCCAAAGTGTGGGCATTGTTCATTGTTCAATGTTTGAGACATTGCCACTAGTCCTGAAAGCTTTAACACAGATTTTGACTTGCCAGTTAGCTGTTTTCCGGGTGACTTGAGGCAAACAGTTTAATGTCTCTAAGCCTGAGCTCCTGGTTTGATAATCAGGCTTCTGAACATAAGTGAGGGAGGGGGCTTGGCTCTCTTCACCCAGTGGGCAGAGCCTTTATCTTCCACTGGAGGGCACTAGTAACCTAAAAACCAGAGGAAGTTCCTTCTTTCCTCAACACAGTTACAGAAGACCCCTTAGATCCAAGTCTTCAAAGACCCGTACTCACAGTGTTTTAGGGTAAGATTCTTCTACCGGTAATGCTGTGAGTAAAAACGCAACTACAGACCAGCCACTAAGTGTTGTGTTTCTATTTTGTCTACATTTACTCTTCCATCCCGAGCCTGTCTGTATTATTCTCTCAGTAATAACTAACCTGTTGTAGTTCGTTTGTCTTGGTTTATTCCAGCGCATTGCACGGCTCTTCCCCTCCTTTGCCTCCCATCCCCCACAGCGGCAGTTCTGCGTCCCCACAGGCAGCAGGGGCAGGGATCTATTCCTGAACTCTGTAGGACTCTAGAACCGACCACTCTGTGGCGAGAGTCTAGTGATCCACAAATGTCCACCACAGAAAGCCATGTCCCAAGGAGAGAGCTCTCCCACGAGTTGGGAGACACCTAAAATTGAGGCCCCATCACCCACAGTCTCCCCAAAGTATTACTGACTTCAGGAGAACAATGTGTAACAAACTAAAGTGTGTATCTTTAAAACACACACACACACACACACACACACACACAGAGCTTTTTAAAGTCTGATGGGGATGGAAATACAGTGCCAGCTTAGCTCCGAGCATCTTCCTAGAGACCCCTGTCCTAGGTAAGTGTCCTGAAGGAAACCTGAGGGGAATGCCCTGCACACTGCAGGGCCACAGAACCACAGAATACAGAATACTTAGGTTGGTGGGATGACTCTCCAGAAATTAGTACCAACCCTTATTGTTTAGAGAGCAGAACTGGCATGACGGGGTCAAGAACTCGCTGGAAGCAGATTTATCCCTTGTAGATTTATTTTTATGTTTATGGGTGTTTTACCTGCATGTATGTGTTCCACTTGCACGTAGTGACCACAGAGGCAGAAGAGAGCAGTGGATCCCCAAAAACGACTTACCAAGTGTTGTTAGCTGCTCTGTGTGTGGTGCGGTGGGGGGGAGGCGAGGGTGTGGGTGTGTGCCACAAACGGAGTTTGGAACCCTGAAAAAGCAACACGTGCTTTTAACTTACGGGCTTTGACTGTAGCCTTCACATCCGTCATTTTGGCAGTACCAGGATTCAGGTCTGTGGGCAGGCACACTGAGTCCCAGCTTTACTGTCCACATTGTTTCTAAGACTTGGGTGTTTAGCAGTTGGGGTATAGTACAGTTTTTGTGGTAGAGCATTCAGCACTGCACAGGGCCTTGGGTTCCATCCCCCAGCCTCAGAAAAACGAGCGTTTGTTTTGCTTTATCTCGATAATAACAGCTCTGAAAGAAATAGTGTTAGAGAAATGAAAGTTATTCCCATTTCAAATAGGAACGGGGCATTTAAGTAAATGGCACAGGATAAGCTAGGGATACACTTACTGGGTGGAGTGTTTACCTAGCTTTAATGAAGCCATGGTTCTGTTCCCCACAATCAAAGATGCCAGGTTCAGAGACTCACACCTATGCTCTTAGTACTGAGAAGGAATAGACGGGAGAATCAGCTCAAGTTATTGTTGGCGATTCTGGAGTTAGAGCCTTATGGGTTACACGAGATCCTGTTTCAAAAAAAGGAAGATAAAGTTAACCACCAGTCCATTTAAATCAGTGTTTTCCCATGAATATTAATGGCATTTTGAATGGAATAAGAGTGCATGTGTGTG